GGGCCGCGCTAAGCGCCCAGCCTGGCTGTCAGACGAGGCTTTGTCCGCACTTCTGCTCCAATATGGTCTGCATAACTGTTTCTTAAACCTGTCCCAGTGTGCTGGTTTCAGCCGGAATGGAGTTAATTTCTTTTCCTTTCAATAGCTAATATAGTGCAGTGTTTGGATTCAGAGTAATAATACTGTTGATAGCGCACTGATGTTTTGGTTTCTGCTAAGTTGTGTTGATAGGAAATTTTCATTCTTGTGTCTCATGCTCTGCCAGTGAGAAGGTACACAAGAGAAACTGGGAGGGAGCATAGCCGGGACAGGTGACCTGAGCTATCCAAAGGGATATTGCACCACGGAACGTCATGCCCAGTATATAAGCAGGAAGGGGCCGATCCGGGGAGAGGGACGGGGTTGTATTGGTCTGCTGGTGGTGAGCAATTGTATTGTGCATCACTGATTTTGTTTTGTTGTTTTTCTTTCACTTTCTTTTTAGTATCCATTAGCTTTTTAGCTCATTCTGCTCTTTATTATTAAACTGTTCTTATCTCAACCTATATATTTTATTTTATTTTCTCCTCCCCATTTCTCTGGGCTGAATGGGGGAAAGAGAGCAGCAGGAGGGAGTGTGAGCAGCTGCGTGGTTCTTGGCTGCTGGCTGGGGTTAGACCACAACACCTTTACACTGAAAACTAAGAGCTGTTAACGTCTATGAGAAGCTTCATGGAGTTCATTTTTGGTTTGTTTTGGTTTTTTGCATATGAAAGAATTGCCTCTGTGAAGATTTCTAGCCAAAACTGAGAAGAGGCTGGAGCAGGCTCCTCAGGGAAGTGGTGGTGGCACCAATCCTGCTAGAGTTAAGGAATGTTTGGACAAGGCTCTCAGGCACATGCTGTGACTCTTGAGGATGTTCTGTGCAGTTCCAGGGGTTGGCCTTGATGATCCTTGTGGGTCCCTTCCAACTCGGGGTATTCTGTGTTTCTGTGATCAGACATGTGAATATAGGTGCTGAAAAATGTAGGTTTGGAGATTGTCTCTAAAAGAGTCCTGCTGACTGTGCTATTTTTGCTGGAGCTCTCGAGGTCCGAGGGATGGCAGGATGCCTACCAGATTGACAAACTGCCAGGGAAGCATGGAGTGTTAGCATGTGCATTTGGTAGGATGGTTATGTGACGTTAACCCTGGACCAAGAACAGATTCTAGATAAGTTTTTGATATTGTTACAAATTTCTTTCTTTGCTGCAATGCCAGTGACATAAGAAAAACATATAAATCGATAGGAGAACTCTCTCTAACAAATGCAACTCTCAGAGGTGTGTGTTATTAAGCCCCTTCATATTTAGTGTAGTATTGATAAAGTGTCACTGGCTAGAGGCCTGGATCATGCTTGAGGACCTGCTGGGGCACAGCTGAGCTTTGTTCATGTGTGCAAGCTTTGGGAAGCAAGAGGAGCAGTTTGATTCAATTGAATCTGAGCACTTAACTCAGTGTAGCTTGGGAGGAACTGGATATTCCCCTGTTCTGGCCCTGCTTTGGTGTAATTACGTTCTGAGAATCTATTCAATCAAGTATGTGAGCTGAAGAGGGAGGTTTGCATTGTCTCTGTCCTGAAATGTTCTAGAAGATGGTTTTCTCTCCTGCTTGGAATTACTTACAAGAAAATGTTACATGTTTTTGAGAGGGAATTATCTGTAAACAATTTTTGTTTGCTTTCTTGTGTAACAACAGGCCTGTTTCAGTCCTCATTAAAGAAAGCTTTGGTTGTAATATTTCTAAGATTGGTGAATTAATTAGTGTTTTAGGGGGGCTGTATGAATAGGCATGTGGGGTGGGTGGTTCAGTTGTGATCTGCATAAAAACTTTGAAGGCTTGTCTTTTTGAGTTTTCCCACAGTGAAATGAGAGGGGAAGAACATAGTCAATTAGATTAATTGACAATTACATCTTTATATTTTGGTGTACTGTGGCTGCTGCGACCAAACAGAACTGCAGTTTGTAACTTCTTTACAAACGTATATATGTGAAAATATGAGACAAGTTTAATAGGTGTTCATCCTGAAAGAAAGGTAAAAATACATCTTTATTTTTGTAATGGTTTTTTTTCCAGCCTTGTAATCCGTGGTGAAAAGGATGAACAAGCAGTGTTGTGCAGCAAAGATAAAACTTACGACATGAAAATAGCAGATACCTCAAATATGCTGCTGTTTATTCCTGGTTGCAAAACTCCAGAACAGCTGAATGCAGATCTAGCATCTTGTAATATTATTCATTCACAGGTATGTCTCTCTGGGGTTTTGTTTGTTTGCTTTAATTCTCTGCTTTCTTATTCTCTATCATTTCTTGTATTTTATTTGAGATGCATATGTGAAACCCAACTGGGATTCAGTTGCCTGAACAGAGGCTTCTAATGCCTAATATCAGGAGGGATATTGAAGTATTGGAGCAGGTCCAGAGAAGAGCAATGAGGTGGGTGAAGGGACTTGAGCACAAGTGCTATGAGGAGAGGCTGAGGGATCTGGGGGTGTTTAGCCTGGAGAAGAGGAGGCTCAGGGGAGACCTTATTACCCTCTACAACTCCCTAAAAGGAGGTTGTAGTCAGGTGGGGGTTGGTCTCTTCTCCCAGGCAACCAGCAGGAGGACAAGAGGGCACAGACTCAAGCTCTGCCAGGGGAGGTTTAGGTTGGATCTTAGGAAGAGATTTTTTACAGAGAGAGTGATCAGGCATTGGAATGGGCTGCCCGGGGAGGTGGTGGATTCACCATCCCTGGAGGTTTTCAAGATGAGACTGGATGTGGCACTTAGTGCCATGGTCTAGTAACCGTGGTAGGATTGGACTCTATGATCTTGGAGGTCTTTTCCAACCCAATTGGTTCTATGATTCAGACACCTTGTGGTATTGCTCTAGCTGCAGCTGCCACTGCAGAAGTTCAGGAGTCTCCTGTAGGTTCTCTGTATATTGAACAGCTCCAGGAGGATGATTTTATGAACATGCTTTGTATGCAGGGACATAATATATCACAGGGTGTTCAAAACTATTCTAGGGCCCTTCTTTAGGCAGCTGAGCTTTCTCCATAATGTATGATATTGTTTCCAAGAAGGTGAAACTTTGGTTATTTTCAGTGGATAGTAATCACATGTAGTAACTATTAAAAGCTGTCAGAGAAAATCTAATGTTTCAGTGTTAGAAGCCTTTTGTAAAATAGGTTATTTCCGGGTTGATCTTAGGAGTGCTTTCCCCAAAAGGCAGATCAAAACGTTTTTTGATCTTGAAGTTCTCAGTTTAAAGAGCTCATTGTTCTCTGATTTTCTGAAGTGTACATAATAAAGTTCTATTTAAAATATTACAGCAATTAACTAATAACAATGGTTATAATGACGTACCTGAGGGGTAATCTCTTGTCCTTAGATGAACATAATAAAACAACATCAGTTCTTCCATGAGGTCAGCAGTTCAGCTAATACAAAAAGTTAATTCAAACTTGAGTAGATTAATGAAAAAGTAATACTCTTCCATATTCCTTTTTTTTTTGCTGTGTTTAATGATTTCACTAGTCCTCTGAAGTCACACATCATAGAAGTGTGATTTGCTTAGGAACTATGTAAAGTTTTATTTCTAAGAGCTTTTTAAAATGTGTTTTAAAATGTTAGATGGTGCGTTGACACTGCAAATTGTGAAACATAGCAAAGATACTGTGTGTACTTGGTGCTTTGGGGCTTCACTGCCCTTTTCCTGCAGTCTTGGTGCTGCTTTTCCTATCACTTGCAAGGCTCATACTCACAACCAAAGCATCTGCCATTTTATTCACCTCACACAGACCTGCTCATGTTCTGAGCTCTGGATTATAAATTAGAATTGTTTATTCTTTTTTTCTGTCCAGAGTATCTTCTTATTAATTACCAGATTGCTCAGAAAAGAACTTTGCAGGAAAAAAAAATCAGTTTACCTGAATTTTTTTTGCCAAGCCAGCTATAAAATAGTTAGATTAAAAATGAAAGATTTCTCTGTATTAGAATTTTGTAGGATTTTTTTCTGCATATAGGTGGTTTGCTTATAGTTGATTTAAATGGAGCATTATTTTGAAGTTTTAGAATTACTTTTTTCATAGTTGATTTCTTGAAAAAACCCAACTACCCTGGTAAAGCACTTGGGGTATTTTAAAGCACTGTCTAGAGGCTTTTTCATGGAAACCTTTTTTTCACAAGAGACTAGTGCCTGGGTCAGGAGTCACAAAGATGGAGCCTGTTCTGCCTCTGCCATTCTGTTCCCAGTGCTGACGGCTTGGTAAATAGCAGGAACAATGCCGAAAGGCCTCAGATTATTCTTCCCCTTCAGAGAATCTTCTAGGGAGTCCAAGCAGTACCCCATGAAACACTTCAGGAGGGTAAAACTTTAGTAGGTTAGTATTGTTGAATCAATTACATCTGAGCTCCCTATTGCACTTTCCATTTGTGTGTTGAATCAGAGTAAGGAGCAGAGATGTCCTGTCAGTTTTTGGATGTAGCTTACTGTCTCATTGATGTCTGATTTACTTAAGCTTAGGGATATGATGATTCATGAAGGTGTAAAAAGACCATGAAGTGGATCCCGAGCATGGGAAGAAGTGGGGAAGATAGAGAAGGATAATGCAGGAGGGGTTTTATGGCAGTAATACACTTTAGTATTAAGACAAAAAGCAACATTGACTAGAATTGTGCAGGAATATATCCTGTGATGATCTCCCATCCTTTGCATGCAGAGGTCCGTTGCTCCCTTTGTTGTATCCACTATGAATATATTTTTATCAATTAACTGTGGATTTTTGTTCTTCATTGCCTGTGGTAAATATTATATTGAAAACATTACAATGATTGTTTCATCTTTAAAGTACTTCTCCTATTCATAGATTCTTGTTTTCAGTGCCTAGATGAACCCTGTTTGCTGATAATTTTTGGTAAGCTGCTTTCAATCCAGATTATACATGAAAATGTTTTAACAGTTGCAATTTTTTTCTTGTAGATTGCTGGTTTCTCCAATAACTATTGGGAATTAAGGAGGTGTCGACCAAAACTGAAGAAACTGAGGAAGATTTTAATGGAAGATCCATATGAAGGGCCTGATAGTCGGAAAGATCAGACTTTGACATTTTCAAAGGTAAATCAGCTAGATAAATTGCTTTCTCATAATTGGTAATGAGCAAATGAAAATAAAAATCTATTCTTAACTAGAAAAATGCTTTTCCTCACATGATGCACAGTGCTTCTTTAATTCTTAACCCTCCTATTCTAAACAAGCTGGTAATTGTTAGCACTTCCACCAAGTAGCACTTGAGAGCTACATGACTACTAGGGTGTAATGGAGCCTTTCTTTCTTCTTTGGGGCTGTCATGTGTGACATGTCATGTATGATATCAGAGCACACCCATGTGCAAGCCACTTGCCAATCAGTAATTTCTGATAACAAGGAGAAGCAGGGACTTGAAGAGAATGACAAGGTTGATATAAGGCGTATATAATTAAAAAAAATAAATCCTTATCCTCTAGATAAATGAAATCCTGTCCTCCTGCCTTTTTATGTTTCCAGGAAATTCAGTTTAGGATCTAAAGAGTAATGGAGAGATCTGGACTGTGCAGCATATTATCTTAGATAAAAGGTTGATAAAAATTCTGGGGTTTTGTTAGTTTGATTGGTTTTCATTTTGACTTTAAAACCACAAATGGTTGCTCCAAAATTGGTTGCTGAGGTTTGGTTGAAGCCCTTTGTGTGTGCTTGGATGTGCAAACACAGATGTTACTCCTCTACCCTGGAGAGACATGCTGCCTCTCTTTCTGGATGATTAACAGATTGATTTCTGATCAGATTCAGAATCTTGCCCCCAGCATTGCCTTTACCACCTACTCTGATCTAGACATAGGGGGACATACAGCAAAATAAGGGATGGCAGAGGTAAAAGGGCTTAAATTGCCCAGAAATTACAAGCATTGAGAAAGGCTATCAACAAAAAATATCATATGCAGTAATATTTGTTGATAATATTGAATGAATATTATTAAAACATGTCAGTGTCTCCCAAACATGAGTGCCTAGTTTGAGGACTGATTGTTATTTATTTTGAAGTAGAATGTATTTCCTCCATCAGCTTACTGGAGAACAACTAGATATATCTGATAAATGTAGACAAATCTTACCTTGCCACTGGTGGAACACTAAATGAGTCTGAAAGCTCTCTGGGGGAAAGCTCTTTCCTATAGGACTAGTTCTCACTGGAATCCCAGACAATATATGTATAGTAAAGATTTCCACTGTGTTGTTTGCTGACACTTAATATTTATCATTTCCTGGCAACTAATAAAACACCATTAATCTGTTTGAAAACAAATTACTCTCTTTTGGTGGTCTACCATAAGTTTCTAATGTTTTTCAGTAACTGTATCATACACAGAGAACCCCAGCAAATAGGCCCTATGGAAGGAACTATGGCCCTATAAGGAAGCACTGTAAGGAAACCTGTTGCATAGTGATGTGATTTAGCAAACTACAGGAAAACTGATAAATAGGCTAGTACACAGGTTGCTCAGGATGCAGCTGGTTGAAATCCTAGGTTTCACAGTGCAATGGCAAGGCACACTCAGATGATCACACTGTGTGAGTTAAGGGAAATGGCTGGTGTGGAGATGATGCAAATCAACTCATTCCATTTATGGAAGGGTGATGCAGTTGATACATCAGAGCCAAGAGCAGTGATGCCTTCAAAAAAAGCTGTTGGAAGTGCTAGCCATGCTTCAAAGTGGGGCCAGATGGACCCCTTCAAGGCATCTGAATGGCAGTGTCTAGCTTACAAACACACATACTGATCTAGGTATATTTTTGTTCTCAATTGCTAGCAGTGTTTTTTAAGTACTGTATAATGTGGTTGTCCCTTGCTGACACACCGATGGGAGTTTGGCCTGATGATATTTCAACATACTGTCTAATAGGAATGGCATAACAGGAAGCAAAGACCTTTCTGCATTTATTTAATGCTCATTTAACATGTGGGTGTTACATAGTCTAAGAGCTATCAAGTACTTAATTTTTTTCCTTTCTGATAGGAAATATTTCTATGCTATAATCAACAAAACATTAATACTAAAGCTGATTTAAAAAGCTGTAAGGTGACTAAAGGAATTGATGAAGCCCTGTTTCCTATGGATTGAAGTCTGGTATTCCTTCCATTACTTCACTCCTCATGATATGTTCTGTTCCTCCCATGTCTTTACCACAGTATCCACAGCACCTTCCCATCTCACCACATAACTAACTGTTCTGCAAGTATCTTTGGGTTGTGGCTGGGTCTGTGCTGGGATACATGTGATAGTTTGATATATATCTGTGTATATATATATATATATATACACACACACACACATATATATAACTTACACCTGGCACTAAGACTTCCCTGTAGTTTCACTGAGTTTTGTATTGAATAACCCTTTGAGAAAATGCAGTAAGTTATAGGAAAAGTTTCTGAGAGTGTGGTAAACCGTAGGAAATTTGGAGCCTGGGGAAAAACATCAATATTAACTCTTCCCTTCATTATAGCTTATAATGCATTTAGCATGCTTGCTGAAGCAGAGGAGGAGTAAGGATAAGCTGGTTTATTTCTTTCCTTTTTTTCCCTTGTTGCAGTATACAACAGAAGATTTGTTAAGTCTGATTCAAGCAAGTGAAGAAGAAATACTGCACCAACTGCAGGTCATAGATGCTTGCAAAATTGAAGGTATTTGTCTCAAAAGAATATTACTACCTATGAAGATATAATCCTGACTTTTTTTTCCCCAAAAAGATCTGTGTTTCCTTTTCTAAGGCCCATTCCACATCCGTGTCTTTCAAGGTGCAAGTTACTTCAGAATTCTAAGATCTGCTTCCATAGTTCGCTGTTCTCTGCTGCTGTGAAGCTGATCAAAAGGATAAAGCAGAGCAGGCACTGACCACTCTGGCTCTGCCCTGGTGATTCCACCACCTCCTTGGGCAGTCCATTCCAATGTCTTATCACCCTTTTTGTGAAGAAATTCTTTGTAATGTACAACCTAAACCACCCCTTGCACAGCCTATGATTGTGTCCTCTTGTCTTGTTGCTAGTTGCCTGGGAGAAAAGACCAACCCCCACCTGACTACAACCTCTTGTCAGGTAGCTGTGGAGAGTGATAAGGTCACCCTGAGCCTCCTCTTCTCCTGGATAAATGCTCCCAGCTCCCTCAGCCACTTCTCATCAGACTTGTGCTCCACACCCTTCACCAGCTTTGTTGCCCTTCTCTGGACTCATTCCAGCACCTCAGTATCTTTCTCATAGTGCCCTTGTCCACCTGGGCATGCTGCTGGCTCATGTTCAGTTGCTGTTGACCAGCACTCCCGAGTCCTTTTCTGTGGGGGTGCTGTCAAGCCACTCTACCCCCAGCCTGTAGCACTGCATGGGGTTGTTGTGGCCAAAGTGTAGGACCTGGCACTCAGCCTTGTTGAACCTCATACCATTGGTCTCAGCCCATGTATCCAGCCTGTCCAGATCCCTCTACAGTTCCTTCAGTTTCCTTCTTTGCTGCTACAAACACTGGCATCAGAGTATCCCACACATAGCAGGAATATTTTTTGGCTGGTTGTGCTCCTCATAGATGAGTGGGTACTGTTTTCTGCAGTTCTAGACGCAAAAATAGCTGATCCATAGTTAACCCCAGCCTTTTCATTGTCCTTCATTCCTCCCAGACTGGGTTTATCTCTGTGTCTTCCTCCCATGTGAGTCAAGACCTGAGCAAGTGCCTCACCTTGAGACAGGTCCTCATCCTTTACGTGGTCAAGTCCAGACCCTCACCTGGACAACAGGTGACAGCAGTCCTAGAGTCACAGACTGATAGAGAGCAGAACTGAGCTCTGGAGGTTACCAGGTCCAAAGCCCTGCTTTAGGACAGGGCCAGCTTGGAGCTGACTGCTCAGGGCCTCAGCTGGTTGAGTTCTGAGCATTTCCAAGTATGGAGGTTGCACCACCTCTTCCAGTGTCTGCATGGGGAAAAACATTATCCTAGTAACAAGGTGGGATTTCCCTTGTTGCATCTTCTGCTTGTTGCCTCATGTCCCATCTCTGTGTGGAATAATTCTCCTCCATGGTCTCTGTACCACCCCATTAGTCAGAGGTCTCACAGATGGCTTTCCTTGTCACTGACACCTGCATAGCACCATTGTACCACATCTCTGCTTTGTCATATCTGGATTTCTGCAGACTTGTCTGGACCTGAACTGTCACTTTGCAGGGCCAGTGCAGCCAGTTCTGTTCTTGCAGTTCTGTGCCAGAAATAATTGCTAGTTCTAATAGGTCTGATTTGTCTTGGGATGGAATTTGTAGTGTCTCTGTATCTGTGGCAGTTAATCTACATAAAGAGTTATGAATAATTAAGATGATTAAATTTCATTATCTTCTGCATTTGCTCTTATTATTCAGTTCTTTTTCTCAGCTTTAATCCCCAAAAGGAAATAATGCTGCTCCTGTACTTTCTAAAGGTGTGACCTAAATGTCCATGGTGTAATACATCTTAAGTGGAATAGAATTAAGGTGTTAATGTATTCCTTCTAACGCTGTTTTGTGGTTTTCTATTTGACAGGTTATTGGAGAATTCTGGAATTTGACTATGAGATGAAACTCTTGAATCATGTGACTCAGCTAATAGACTCAGAGTCCTGGTCTTTAAGTAAGGTTCCTTTACGTACCTGCATTGAAGAACTTGGATCTCTAGAGCCCAGGTAAGCAATTATTTTTAGAACTTAAAATTGCCTGCATTCATTATTAATTATTACAAATTACAATAATTATTAACTGTTTATTAGAATTATAGCTTTGTAAGTCTAGATTTCGGTTACCATGGTGTTGATGATACATTTTGTTTGTCCCTAAAGATGTACAAGGGCATTAGTAGTTTAGACAAAAAGGTGAGTAAACTGATTTTAATGTCTATTGGTATCCTTTCCATTGATTCAGTAGTAGAAAGGTCACTGCTGAGTTGTAAATGATGGAAGTAGTATGTTCTTAAGCTGTAAATTGCTGAACATCTTGAAATACCTGTTCTGAAGCTATAGGTAGCCGAAAATGTTGAGTTTACTTATTGCATACTGTCTGAGATGGGGGGGTGTTTTCTACTGTAATACTGAATTCAGAATGTAAGAGTTGGGTTTATTCAAATGGCAGTACAAGTCAAGATGTCATTCAAGATTACCATTCAAAAAGTGTACAATGTGTAGCATTTTCCATTTATTTGGCTTTTGTCTCTCGAAGAGATCTTGCTTTAGTGTCTGCAGTTAGGCCATAATTTTATGCCAGAGTTCTAGAAAAATGCCTACTATTCAGTAAGAGATTATTAACTGCCAGATTCATGACTTGCATCATAGAATCATTTAGGTTGGTAAAAAACATTAAGATGATTGAGTCCAACTGTTATTCTAGCACTGCCAAGGCCACCACTAAACCATGTCCCTGAGTGCCGCATCTACACATCTTTTAAAGACCTCCAGGGATGGTGACTCAAGCACTTGCCTGGGCACACTGTTCCAACGCTTGACAACCCTTTCCTTGAAGAAATTTTTCCCAATATCCAACCTAAACCTCCCTTGGCACAACTTGAGGCCTTTTCCTCTTCCCCTGTCGCTAATTGCCTGGGAGAGCCCTCAGCTAACTATAGCCTCCTTTCAGATAGTTGTAGAGTGCTAAGGTCTTTCCTCAGCCTTCTGTTCTCCAGGCTAAACACCTCCAGCTCCCTCAGCCACTTCACATCAGACTTGTGCTCCACACCCTTCACCAGCTTTGCTGCCCTTCTCTGAACTTGCTCCAGCACCTTGATGTCATTTTAGTACTGACCAGCACAGAACTGAACCCAAGATTTGAGGTGCAGCCTCAACACTGCTGAGTAAAGGGAAATGATCACTGCCCTGGTCCTGCTGGCCACACTGTTTCTGATACAATTTGTATTGGAAAGAAGTGATATTGCAAGTCTCTTTTCCTTATTCTTTGCTAGGTATAACTAGAAGGAAGAAGAGACCTTTGAGCCCAACAGGCTGAATTAACTCCAATCTGTCATTTCTGTCCCCGTTTGCTCTATTTTACTTTGAAGTTTTTATCAGTTTCTTAATTTCCGCTGTGAAGATGTCTCATCCTTTATTCTTTAATTTATTATTTGCCCTATTCCTGTTCCTTCGTGATCTTTTTGGCAACTGTTTCTGTAATGTCCTAATGAACAGTATTAAAACTTGATTTCTGATTTTTTTTTATTTTCAGAGAGATGATAGAACACATTCTTCTAAGCTATGGAAGGAAATACGTTGATGATGGTAAGTTTGGCAAAGCTTGTACAGGTATAGATTAACTTTGCATAAAGGAAATAGTTACTAATGAGGAAGTGCAGATTTTGTGAGGATGGCCCAAACAAATGAGTTTGCTATGGTTCTAGTAAAAGGAGGGAGGAAATGGAGGTAAAAAACCAATACAGTTGTTAAAGTTTCATAGGAAAAAAAAGACTACTAAACTGTACAAGATACTAGGGGAAAATCAGGAACTAAAAGATGTACTGGAAGTGATTTGTTAGGTGTCTACAAGGCATAATTTTATGAGTAAAGACAGATTATTAATAAAATATATATTGCATCTCTCTTTAGATACCCTAGGAGGTCTCAGATGTTTAAGCAATTAATTGTGCTGTTGTGAATAGCCAATGGCATAAATTCAGCTTGCCTAAAGTAGACATCTGCCTTTGGTCTCTTGAACTGCACCACGAGATGCAATGATTGTATTGATTAAAATTCACTGCCCAGCTCACATACAGATATAATATTGCAGGCCCTAATCTCAATCTGAATTCTTCCCACAATTGCTTTCATCTCACCTCTGACTGAAGCAGGAGTTGCACTCAACCATAAAGGACATAGGAAAGTAATGGTCTCCATTTGCACCAGGGAAGGTTTAGATTAAATATTAGGGGAAATTCCTGCACAGAAAGGGTCATAAAACATTGGAACAGACTGCCCAGGGAAGGACATTCCAGAATTCAGAATCCCTGGAAGCATTCAAAAAGTGTGGATATGGTACATGGGGACATGGTTTAGTGGTGAACATGGTGGTGGTGCTAGGTTGACAGTTGGACTTGATGATCTTAAAGGTCTTTTCCAACCTTAACGATTCTATGATTCTAAGTAGTTGGAGTGACAACAGATTGTTGTCTTGGTATATTCAGGCAGATTGCACAAGGAACAAGTCTGAATTGCATGAAGCCTAGATGACTGAAAGTATAGAAAGCAGTGTTTATGCTTGGTGGTTTTTGGAGAATTTTAGTCAAATCAGTATGAAAGAAAATAAAGTCTCATTATTCCCTTCATCATCTCATAAGGGTGATTAAAGAAGTGAAAATTTTAATTGTTCAGCCACATGCAGCAAATGCCTTAATACAAGCCATTTGGAAATAGGAATGAAAGCTGTGGGAGAAATTTGTGTACTGTGAAAGGGGAAAAGATTGGGGTAAATACACTTATTGATATGAATTAATACTGCAGACAGTGTTTCTCTGTTCTGCCTAATTTGTTCATGAGAATGAGAAGATACCCTCAGTTTCCCAAAGGAATACGAAGTCAGATTACTTCCTGAGGAAAAAAAAGAGCATAGAATATATATAAAAGACTAGAACAGAATGGAAATACGAAGCTGTTCTCTGTCCTTTTATCAAAAAGCAGGAGCCCAAGATAACCTATTTTTTGTGTCTCAGCAGGGGAGGTTTACTTTGAAATGCATGAAGATAAAATCTGCAGAGCTATAGCACAAATGCTTTTGCAAAATGCAGTTAAATTCAATCTGTCAGAGTTTCAAGAAGTCTGGCAACAAAGTGTCCCTGAAGGGATGACAACAAGGCTTGATCAACTGAAGGTAAAAACAAAGCAGTACTGATTCTTTCATGGGCAGGCTGTTAACTGACTTGTCATATGTAGATTTTATCCATTACTGAGTATTGATTGTGCTATATCTATCAGCTTTTCAGTTAGAGTCCTTTTTATGACATCCTCTATGAGCACTAGGAGTCTGGAATCATGACAGTTCAGATTTCTGTAACTCCTGCATTTTCCATTGTTTGACGAAAAGTTGCAGCTGTACCGTTATTACTTGTAACTGAGCTAGAACAGAAGCTGAAGATGTTGTTGAGCAGATTTTAGTGACAGCCAGAAGAGTAGCACTATGAGAATTCTTTTGCTCAGACGAGGCAGAGACATTGGAACTGAAGGAATTTCCTCCTCCTTGTCATGAAGGAAATTAGAAATACTGCCTGTAAAACATCACCTTTGTGATACATCTTCACTTTGCCTCTGGTAGTGCAGTTCTTAGAAGGCTTTGGATGTGCAAAGAGCAACTCATATGGAATATTGCCAGAAAGAAGAAAATCTAATTGTTTTGTCTTTACTTCACATTTTCCCTCTAATGCTGATCTACAGGGCTTGGCTCTTGTGGATAAAAGCTCCAGACCAGAGACCATCTTTCTGCTGAAAGTAGAAGACTTACCTGAAGACAGTCAGGAAAGATTCAACAGCTTATTTGGCATACGGGAAAAGTGGACAGAAGTGGATATTACCCCTTACATACAGTAAGGATATAGTTCTTTTTGTTAAAGTATGGTTGGTGTTGTTTCACACAGCTGTCATTGCCTCAAATACTGTACTTGGCATTTTAAATGAATATGAATTCTATATGAACAGAATCCTCACCCCTGGGATCTGGAGCTGTATTTGTGGGATTAAAATGTGTGTAAAATGCTGAATCTAAATGAGCAATAACTCTCTGTTATTTGACTGAGGCAGACTTAACTCAAAGGCTCAACCTCCTGACATTTATAATGAGTCTGCATATTTGCAACACAAGAACTGCTGAGCAATAGTGCTTCCTGTGCTGCATCCTTTCTTCCTTTGGTGGTTAAGACTTTCACTACCACACTGTCTGGAATGCCCAGCTGGGATACGTGTGAGCAGATATCGATGGTAGCCTGGAAGTAACTGCATCAGCCCTTTATGAGTGGCTCTAAATTTACTGCAATATAACTGAGTAATTCAAAGCTACCTGTTTTGCTAGATTGAAAACCCTTTAGAGAACGGTAATAATAAAAACCAACCAACTCCCCCTAAAAAACAAAATGAATGTTTTTGAAGTAAATAATGTCATTTTGCCTATTGCTTACATGTCAAATTAAATTCTAAACTTTAGGTTATTTAAAGCATTAAGTGGCAGAGTAGTTTTTTTCTCTCCTAATACCCTAATCCTGTCTATTGCTATAGTTACGAGTATTTCACAGATTTATTTTGTATGAGAATATCTCTTAATACCAATATCATCTGCTTTATTTTCTCTGCAGAGACTTGTGTGCAGAGAAGCAAACCGTTGGTGCTCTTCTGACAAAATACGCTCGTTCCTCCATGCAGAATGGTGTTAGAGTTTATAATTCTAGGAGACACATCTCATAACAAGTGTTGTTTTAAGAACTGAGACCACTGAATGGAGTAACAGTGAACATTGCTTGTTGCTGCCTTCTGGGGAAAGAAGTTGCCAACAGACATTATACAGTGTACTTGAGTTTAAGCAGCTAAGCTTCTTGAACGAGTTCTGTTTTGTGCTCAGCTGAGTAGAATCTGTGAGGGCACTTCATTCATCTAAGAAACTATAGTTCACCCACATTCCTTTGCCCACCCTCCTTTTCCTTTGTGTCTAGTTAAGCCATGAGTCAATCTACTTCTTGAATACACTTTATCTGTCTAGCCATAAGCTGAAGCCTGACATAAAAATTTAAAACCTCCTTGACAATAATTCAATTAAACTGATTCGAACAGGCAAATGCTATGTTTAGTCTTTTGCCCATTAGTGACCATTCTTAAAGATGAAGATTTCATTGCAGTGTTGACATTTTGAATGGTGCAGACCTTGACAAGCTCATAAACAAATCACTCCTGATGGAGACTAAGCTAGTCTCAGTTTTGAAAGGTGGTTCTTTTTATGGTCAGGTCTGTAAATAGCATTGGCACAAGCTCTTAACACTTGAACACTTGGCAGAACAACCTTTTAAATCTTACCAAAAATTGCAAATTGCAATCAAGTGTGAGTATAAGAGAGGACAGTTGGACATCATGCTATGAACTTCCTATAAGCCATCCTTAAAATGTAGCTTAGGTAAAACTAATGTTGTACAGAAGAGACTACCTGTGCTTTTTAAAGAGAGCTAATAAAACTTTGTAGTACAATTTTTATTTTTTTAAACTTTGTTATGGCAAATAACTGCACATAGAAATTGTGCCTTGAAAACTTACAGTGGAATGTTATTCTACGTAGAGCAATTAAAAAGTGTTTTTTGTGGTATTGCCATGAAGTAGTGTGTCTGAAATGGAAATTTCATGGCAGCTGTAGGGTGAGTGGGGAGAGGAAGGAAACTGGAAGTCAGATGTAACTCTTAAGATAGATGTGTGCACCCTTGGAATTTTGTTATTAAAAGCTGAATAAAAACTACTTCATGATTTCTTGTTTATTGTTGCCCTGTGATGCAGGGGAGTTCCCTGTGCTCCACGTGGCTGGTGCAGGGGTGTGGTGTGGTGTTGGACCCAGATGTGTAGATACTTACAGTGGCTCTGCTGGAAGAATTGCCTTGTTCACTGTCTGGTTCCAGCAGCTGTGGTACTCTAATAGCACCAGAATGTTCCCTCTTAGAGATAAACGGTAATATGAACATAAAAGCCTTGGAAATTCCTTCTATTGCATAACAGAAGGTTCTTTAGTTTAAATACACAAGACAAGTGATAGTTTTGTAGTCTGTGATGCAAGTGTACTTTTACATAGGGGTTTCTTTGTGAAACAAGTAAATTATTTCATGAATAGTGCTCTATCACGGCGCTGAGGTAATAATTAAGGTTTATCTACACTAATTTTGCATATGGTATCACATCATAGAATCAACCTGGTGGGAAGAGACCTTAAAGATCACAGAGTCCAACCCTACCGTGGTTACTAGACCATGGCACTAAGAGCCACATCCAGTCTCATCTTGAAATCCTCCAGGGATGGTGAATCCACCACCTCCCCGGGCAGCCCATTCCAATGCCTGACTACTCTCTCTGTAAAAAAATCTCTTCCTAATATCCAACCATAAACCTCCCATGGCAGAGGGGAGTCTATGCCCTCTTGTCCTACTGCTAGATGCCTGTGAGAAGAGACCAACCCCCACCTGACTACAGCCTCCTTTCAGGGAGTTGTAGAGGGTGATAAGGTCTCCCCTGAGCCTCCTCTTCTCCTGCTAATTTGTCATACATTCAAAATGAAATGATGCTTTCAAAACTCCATTAGCTTCTTTCATGCATTTGTTTTAACATAAAGCAGATTAATTGAAACTTAGAACAAGTCTTGCTTAGGAAGAGACTTCATCCTCCTGATACTAAAACTAGAGACACATGTGGTGGGAAAGAGGTCATTGGCCATAGCCTCACCTTGTGGCTGTGCCACAATTCTGGCAGTGGTGTTACATCTGAAATTCTTTTTTGATTCAAAAGCAAAGGCTGATATGTCCTAGTGTCACTCTGCATGTCTGTGTCGGGTGGGCCCTTGAGTCTGGCCCGTTACAGAAACTTCCCTGCCTGAGCACCCAGGAGCTACTGCAGGAGTCACTCTTGCACCACCTGAGCTGGGACCGAGGCCCCTTCACAGCAACACCCTACACTGACACGGTCAAACCAGGCTTCACATAGCAGAGCCTCAAACGACCAGATCCTTAAAATAATTTAATCGAGGTACACTAATGAGAGAGTAACAGCTCGAGCTGCTGCCTCCAAGAACAATGGAACCCCTGGGCTTTTTACACCCCCACAGTACAAGGGTAGGGAAGTCTGGGATTCTTCGGCTCCTGCTGTCTCGAGCCGCGCCGCAGGGTGTGGAAAGGCTCAGCAGTTCACAGCCTCTAGCCTGGGGCTCTGCCACGCAGAGCTCACACCGCAGCTGCACCCCGAGCTACGGGCACTGAGCGTATGCCTCAACACCCCATGGGATAGCTGTGCGCGTCGCTCACT